CACGCAGGGAGCCGCCTTCGCGTGATTTCCTAGCGCTGATGACGAGCAGAAAGCACGCGCTTCAACCAAAGGGAAAGACCGAACGAACACACCGATCCAGACAGCGGTATTTCATGGTCAAAATTAAATTTTTCTGCGTTTCTCTTTCATGAAATGATAACTCTTTAAGGGGGTCCTCTACTGCAAAACGCATTGTAATAAAAAATTACTGTAAATCATCGACTTATTATAGAAAATTTCACGGATGAAAAAGTCTGTACGAAGAGATGTTTACAATTTTGGCGAGGAGATACCGCATTTCGCGACACCGTGGAATGGAAGGAAACGCAAACGAAGAAGAGGTTCGCGAGAAACTTAAAGGAGATAGCAGGGTAAAGATCCCGGAGGCGTGGGACAAGCGAGTAATGTATAGCCGACGCGACGGCGCCTATCCGCGCGCACCATCTCCGGGGCCCGCGCCGGTTTCGCCTCTCGCGACAATCTTTTCTCACTTTGCGAAGAAGAAGCCATCCCTCAACTTATGGAAATTTCGCTACCCCCGAAACTTTCGAACTGCTGCCGCCGCTGTTGCTGATGTCGCTGCCTAACAGCGACGTTGCTCGCGCGACTAGACCGAGACCGTACTCCGTATCGAAACACCGGGGATAGGGCGAGCGCCCTTTTTCTCCGCGATCTCGTTCCACCCCGTCTTACGCGATACGTAACAGGATGTAAGACGCAAATGTTCCGCGAACTTTCGGCGTTGTTGCCTCGTGGCTCGCGTTATTCGCGGCCCTCCGAATCCACGAGGCGCGTCCAACGCCTTCGGAGATACCGTGTTTCGCGGGCCCGACTGATTTATGACGGACTTTCGGGCCTGGAGGATCTCTAGGCCGTGCAACCCGACGATTTGTAACGGAACCGGCTGTTCGTAGATCGCGTCCCTCGGAATTCGAATCGAACGTCGAAACGTCCTCGCGCTGGTAAACGCGAAATTAAGTCGCACGCTCGAATTCAACGAGCCACGCGATCGTATAATTAATTCGTTCGTAGACACAATCGTGGCCAGTAATTAATTATTTGGTCATAGTTGCCGATGCGTTAATGGCCACCGTTAGAATACCTCGTTAATTATTAGCATCGGCAAAGCAGACATTACGATATTCGCGAACGCGAGCGCGGCCCGTTCTCCGTTTATGATTATTTCTCGTCAAAACTAATGTCGACGCGCGCGATTATCGTCTTTGTCCGTCGACCGTAGACCACGAATTGACGAATTTGTGGAAGAAAACATAACGTATTAATGTTTGAATTAACTGGTAATATTAGCTCTAGAAAAATTGAATAGAATCGTGATATCCATTATGAAAGATAATACGTTTTATTTAAGTTGCAGACGTTTAAAAAGAAAGATAAAAGTAGAAAGTATACGGAACGGAGTACCGTGGATTGAATATTATAAAGAGATACATCAGAATCTCGGTTATTTGAATACTCTCTTATTGAAACTACCCCATATTCGAATAAAGAAATCATTGCAGATTCCGACGACCTTAATGTAGCATCAAACGAACTGTGTACTAATGAAATGATTCGTAAATTGAAGGCTGAGCTACAGTAAGCAAGAATTTATAATATCGTGGACGCTCTAGCGCCAATATTATAAACGTATAAAAGTGACAGCCCGGACTAAAAAGAGCAAATTAAGTCCTCTTTTGCCTGGAAAATTATAAATGTTAATTAGTGACTTCTCATTCGCTTGAATATAACAGTAACCTAGATTTTAAGCAAACTAATCGAGGAAATTTCATTGCGCTGCTGCCTCTATTGTTTTAATCTTTGAACGGTAATATTGTTTATTCTCGTAAGCACACTTTGATGTTATTACAAACCAATACATCATTAAACATAGTCAACCTAAATTTCTAAACATCGATTTTTACATTCCTTATCAAACTAGTATCGATAGTCTGATTTTCTATTACATAAATTTTATTTCAACTTCGAAAAAAAAGATTCATTTATGATTATACATCCATCCGTGAATTAATACTGAAACTAAACGATAAATGGCTGAACCTGGAGAGCTATTAGATGTTTTCGTACGAACGAATGATTTGCAAATATCATAAAACTGCCTCGCCAAGCTTTACAGGTACAGTTTTTATTGGATTCCCAATCGATCACAGTATGCAATAGAGTGTTAAAAAAAAAAAAAAAAAAAAAAAGAGAGGACGTGGAAGCGGATTACGCGAGGGGATCGTCGATGCGCTCTGTGCGTTACGCGAAATACCAAAGACGAGCGTTACAATTCTCCTCACTGCATCGTCGAGTTCAGCAATTAATTAAACGGTCAGAAAGAGAATGAGAACGGTAGATTGCGAGCTATTCAGGGCTGTCGCGATAAGAGCAATTTCTCAAAGGCGAAATTAATGTTTTCGGACGCATTAGAATCCGTCCGTGTTTCTTTTTTCGCGCGACGGCGAATAAAAATCTCATTTCCCTCATAAAGCAATATATCTCGCTTTTATACGGGCCGCCGCATGTATCACGTAACATCAAGATTACGGCATAAAAACGAACCTTCGCCGCGCTTTTATTTCTCATCATTTCCGCGCCATATTTTTTATCGTGCCATCGCGATCGTTCACCTCCTTCGGCACAGATACGCCAGAAGATGGTTTCCTCGAGATTTACAGACATCCCTGATATCGCGACGCGGGGAGCACGACCAAGAGAAATAGAGACGGAGAGACTTTTCCTCCACGGATACCGTGCAAACAGTTTCATTCAAACTTTTCTTATTTCCGACTCGGCCCAGCTACACGACAATGCTCTTAAATTCCCAGTCTTGCACGCTGGACACGGCCATTATACTTCGGGCGCTTCATAAGAACAGTTTGACCGGTTGCGTCGAAATTGGGTCACTCGCCGTTCGGCTGACCTTGCAGCACGCATTTTTATGTTTTAAAACGGACGCGTCCAAAATTATTTTTACCCTCGAGGCAGTTTGAATCAATCAATTCCACCGTATCAGTTGCAAACATGAATTTGAAACTTGAATACGAGAAATGGGCATTTTGGAACACGCAGAAATTTAATGGCGTATCGTAATACTCCAATGCTTTAAAGAGTTAATGAATTATTACTGCGTAGAGATCGGTTTGCCGAGAATTTCCCGACGCGCGTCTGAAACAGTAAAAGCGTTTATCCTGTATATCATAACACGCATCAGAAATGGCGAACTCAACGATTCCGTTTAAAGGTTAAATTGAATTGTCTTATAAATATGTAAGCGATTTAACTAGGTGCTAGATCCCTGATAGACATCTTTGGAACTCATTAAAAATTAAAAATGATTTAATAAAAGAACAGTTCTCAAGAGCAACGTAAGAACTCTGGTATACTTAGACACTCGTCAATAAATATAGAATATTCTAGTATGTACTTTTTTCGAAATCAAACATTTTGCTGCCTAAAATAATATCGTTATCGTACTGCCAAAATCTCAATACCAGAAAGTGTGCTATGTAATCTGAATGAGGTGGCTCTGTCAGCATGGTTTGAACAAACCAATGAGTCACTGTAGATGTCGTTTACGAGGCACAAATACCCTCCGTTTTCTTTCAAATGAATCATACGCTGACCTCTCGAAGTTCCGTGTAACTTGCAGTTGTTCACAGGTAAATCCAACGTGTAAAGTAAGTGGAATTCGTTTGGAGTAATTTTCTATTCTTGGAATCGATCGATACGATTCGAAATTCATCGAGGAAACCGGAGCAATGACGCTCGTGTTTTTTTAACAGTTTTTTAGCCCAAAGTGCTTCGAAATTTTGTTTCGTCCTGGTCAGTGTTTCGCACGGTCGAGCGAACGACGAGTATTTTCTACGGTTTCAAGACAAACATTCGCGGGAACCCACTTTTTCTCAGGAGCAGGCTTGATTGTGAAAATTCGAATTGCTAAAAGTTGGAGAATATTGGCATCGTAGTCGATTCAACGGTATATTGCGTACGCAACCGAAAGCGGCGTACGCAGATTAAGCATTCAACTCGTGAATAGTGAATTACTAGAAGCATCGCCGAAACTCCGAAAAACGATCGGGCAAGAGCAAGTCCGCGTTGAAACAACAGGGAATTTATTCAATGGAAATACGGTACGCGAAGCATTAAAAGTTAATATTGAACAGAAGGATGAGTCTTCTTGACAAATCATAACCTGTCATCCGATTTACTTACTGCGATTCATAGTTCGCGGATTGCAGAGAGAGGCTTAGTCGAAACGGAAAAAAAATAGTTTGCTTATACGAGCATGCACTACGATGCCCGAGATACAGATAAAGATAAATATTAATCGGATAAACCGATGATATGTTGCCGGACAACACGACGAAAGTAAGTGATGGATTGCATCCTATTCGCCCGTTGACTTCCGCCTACGAGCGAACCGAATAATTTCAGTCCAGTCCATTTTCGTAATAAACGGTAACGATCGCCAGGAGCAAACGTTCAGATCCTGGCGCAACGCGATAACCGAATTCGTGAAAAAACTCGTTACTCGATCGAGTCCATTTGCTCGATCGCGCAATGATAACGCGGGTTCGGTCATCCTTTTCGTTGCGATTTTGGCGCGTAAAACGTTTTTTTTTTTCGCGTCGTGGCCGATACCATCTGCTCGACTCCGATTGCTCTCGAGGACCGTGAACGTACCAAAGAGTCCCGGACAAAAAGGAATCGCGAGGAGATACGAGGTCCTATCTGGCGCAATCGCGCGCCTTCTATTCCGACCAGATGAGAGGGCATCGTATTCGAGGCGTAAGTGGACGACCGATCGTCGTCGATGTCGTCAAAGAGATTCCTCTGTAGGATCTCTCGACACCCCTCCTCTGACGTTGGATCTTATCTCTGTCGCGGGTCCGACCGAACTTAGGCGCAAGTGCGATCCCGCGCGCATAAAGCGAATAAAAAGGAAACCTGACGAAAGCGTAAGGGCCGGAAGGAAGAAAGAACGAGATAACGCTCACCACTCGGTGTACGAAGTGCCGTGAAGTTGCTGCCGGTCTGTAATAGTCGGCGAGCTCCTCGACCAGGGTAGCAGAAGCGTCAGAAAAAATATCTTCGCGAGATATCTCTTGGTCGTTGAAAGAGAAATAAAAACGAAAACTTCCCTCTTATCACTTTTCGCTCTGTTTACACACTAACCGTCACTCTCACTCACTCCGAACCACGGGTTAGAATCCTTCGAGCGTGGTCCACAGTTTTTCGCAGTTTACCGATCAAACGGCCCTCGCGAATAAGAGCAGGGCAAACGTTCCCCGTCGGAGTTTACACTGCGTGATCGACGCCAATATTCTGTCACCGTTCCGCGTAAACCACCAGTCTTCGTTTGTTTATGCCGCGGGCGATGTTTGGAGCAACGTCCGTTGCCGATCGCGTTCGAACGGTCTCGCCTACGTTGTCGCGGGATTATGTTTGTTTATGGGCGGAAGCTGGCCGCACTTAGAACACGCGCTACGTTATCTGGTCACACGCGATCGTCCACCGTGCGTACGTACGAACCGTAACGCGATCGAGTCGGAGCACGTTCGACTGACTCGTTGTCAAAATCGACGCGCCTCTGGGAAACACGAATCGGACTGAGTTGACAAAGTTTAACCGGTTCCGGCAAACGGGCACGGAATACAAGCCGAAACAACACGCAGGCCAACCGCACGGTACGGCTCTCGCCTGTGAACTGAACACCCGTCGCGACCTGAGGCCGGGACTCGACTGGTTTCTGCTAGGGAATCTCCCCACTCTCCGTTACTCTTCTCGCGCGACCCTAGGCACACCAACCCCTCGACTGGCTCTCGCTCCCTCGCGCTCGTTGCGTCTCTCTCATCGCACCCTCCCACCCCTTCGACGTCCTTTTGCCCTTACTCTAGTCCTGCCACGCTTCATTTCTTTTTCTCTCTCCATCTATCCTTTTCCTCGCTATTCCACGTTCCAACTGCCTAACGCCGACCCTTCACGTACGACCGAACGACCACCCGTTTCTTCGGTATATACCTCACTCTCATACCCCTTCCTGAATACTTCTCGCTCCCACCTCCTTCTTTTTCCCTTTACTCCCCCGTTCCCTATCTTACCGTCCTTCGTCTAGCGTTCTCACTTTTCCTCGTCGTCGCGTCTAGGTGTACCCTTTCCAAGGACCTTCCGGATCTCGTTTCCAGTCAGCCGCCGTTCTTTCAGAAATATTTCGGCGCTAGTATACCCCTTGCAGCCGATTCGACTCGACTCGATCCGGTCGCTGTTCGAACGAACGCCGGGGCAAAGTGCCCTGGCCAATCCCGGGGCACATGCTCGCTACTTTCGAGTCCTTCCATTCTTCCTGGATCGGAAAAAGAAAGGGGGGCGGCCGAAGGGCGGGCAAAGGGACGAAAACGGAAGCGGCGGAGCGAGAGGAGGAAGTCACGAGGAGGAGGGATCTTTTTATCATACGCGCGGCGGATGGATTTCTGGCGAACAAGTGCACGAAAGTGTTTCGACCCTTCGCGTTGCAGGGCAGGACGATGGCCCTTTTAAGGATCAGGCGGCTTACGGAGAAGGACGCTCGGGATCGAAGTATCCAAGAACTACTCGAAACCTATTCCTAGCGGTCACCACGAACGATTATTAATCCTTATGTCAATAATCGAGTACCAGGTCTCCCTTTTCCATTTTATTTGGAAATTTTATGTCACGACTTTTTTGAAAAATGGTGCTCGATTAGTAAATACGCGTTTCAGAGACGCCTAATTAACGTTTATCGAAATTGTGTTTCAATTAGCGAGCAACGACGCTTTGCAGATGGTTCGCGTGAAAAAGCTCGTTCGATGCTTTGCCCGGTTTTCCATTTTCTTAATCGTCGATTGACGAGGATCAACATATTTTCTCGCTTCCTGTTGGAAATAAATGCCGCGATATTTATAATGCATACGCTCGCGTCGAATGTTTACTCGAGTCTTTAAGTTCCGTTGACGCGGATGTAAAATATAAAAGTTTGCGTTCCATCAAACATTCTACGATCAAAGGCAGACCGGTCCGTGCGCGCCGAGAGATCCGTCAAAATTGCAAAATTTTGGTTACGCGCGGCAAAAAATGAAAAAAAAAGAAGAGAGATGGGCACCATACACCGTGAAATGTTTCGACGGCGTTGTGTATACGTATATTTAAGGATTGTAGGCGAGCGCGATAGCAACGGTATTTCCACCGCCGTGTCCGAAGATTAAATTTCTATGGTAGAGCGCATATGGAGGTGCAAATTCGAGAAAAAGGTTTTATGAATTCTTCTCGAAAGTTGAATAAAATTTGTCCCCCGGCAGATTTACCGGAGAGGGCATCCAAGCGTCGCGACGCTTTCAATGCATTTGCGCAAACCAACCAGAGGCGAAGGTAACGTTTTACTACTGTTAAAAATTTCATTCTCTCGAATAATACGTCTTTAGATCGATGATTATTTGCCACACTATTTTCACGCGCAAGTGAATTTAACACAACTGAAATCGATTACAAACAAACGTTTAATTCTTTGACCCCAATTTTCATCTAAATTTGAGTGGAGAGTTGTATTTTCTGCAGCTTAAGTAAATGCATATTTTGAATGACAAACGTATGCAACTAGTTTTTCTACTTGCATCCTTTGTTGTTTGCTTCAGTGCACTTTGAAATTTTATGTGTGTCTGAACTCGTGAGTGTTTATACAAAAGGGAAATAAAAGGATTAACAAAAGAGTAGGCGCGGCATTAATTAGTTATAATTAGGTGTTGTGTTAGAAAGTATTGTGACTTGTTCGTCTCTGTTAATTTAATATAAAATTTTGGCTCCTTTAGTACAGAAAGTTGCCGACCTCTGCTTTGTAACAATGTATTGTATATATTTGGATTGTAACTATGTTCTTCGGATGAAACAGCATCCCCTGCGCTCGGAACTAAGCGTCCACTGGGGACGAAAGTTTCAGGTGTACACAATAGTATTACTATGCAAGTATAATAAATTTTGAGGACATTACGTCGCTTTCTGCATCCCATCGTGTAATCGGATTAAATATGATATTGATTATTCCTGCCATGGAGGTATAGCGACTATGTTAGATGCAATAGATTACACCCACTTAAAACGACACGCGTGCTACACATTTTTACCTTATACAATGAATTAGTCACCGGGACATTATCCTATATGCAAAATACTGTATACGTTAAACCCATTATAAGTTTTTTGTGCTTGTATGTTAAACAACATAAATCCCCTTTGTCCTACGATAAATTTTCACGCGTGTCTCCTGCACCTGAGACATTGTAGTTGAAGCAAGATCAACTACTAGCTCAAGACTGCCAAATTTTGAACCCCCATGCTCCAAGGGTTATTTCTTTTTCCTTGCTTTTGAAGAATTGAAATTTAATTCCTATTACATAAATCTTATTTCTTAAAAACAGACAAAATTCTGTTTATTTTATAATTAATAAAGCATGTAAGTTCGCGAGCAATGCGTTATCGAAAATAAAAATATGATATGTGTTTACTAAACAAACAAAAAATTAAAAAAATTTCGAATCCCGGAAATTCCCTGGGAAATATACTTTCTCCGATCCCGAATCCGGGAAATGAAAAAAGGGCAAGAAAAGCCAGATACTATTCCGGAACAGTATTTTCTCCGATACGTCGAAAAGAGTGAACAGTACATAACGTTCCGTATTATATATCAATAAATGTTGATAAACATTTATAAATATTTTCAAATATCAATACGTATCGATCGTGTCATCATCCGATAGGACGAACGACTCTGGATATCTGTCACATCGAATGCTTCACAAACGTTATTATCACTGTAAACGAGAACCCGCGAATACCTAGGTAATTTTATACTTTTCCAGAGGATATATTCTTTTAATACGCCCGGGGACGGATATAATTACAATCCTGGGAGCCATTGCGGTACGGATTGCTAATTTTACCGCGCAAATGAGCTTTTATCCACCACCTAGCGTAATTTCATTTTAATCCTCTATCTCGTTCACGTTTGAATGTCACAAGACAAACAAATTCTTTTGCCCGTACCGGGTATTAAATTTGATTTGACTATCTTCTCATCTGGAATGTAGCACAGGGCTCGCGCATAAACTTGATGCGCGAATCGGCTTGGTTTAGTTCTCATGCTCTGTGAGGTTTCGCTAATCTTCGCCATGATACCCGCATCACACGAGCCAGGCAATTAACTGCCTGAATATGTAGATCCGTTTACATTCAGACGAGTCAACCTGCAAGTATAAACTAGAAACGAAGACTCTCGGGATCAGCGACTACGCGTTACTACGAATTAAAGTTTTCGGCTACAAGTAAAACAGGCTGATTCTAGAGACTCGAAGCTGTAGCTTTTTTTCTAAGTAAAGATACAACGATACGTACAAAGATACTTGTACTTTTAATTATATTTCTGGATACCCTTTATACATATCGTAAAAAATACTAAAAAAATTTTTTAAACATTATTCTATACCGTCGTTCAGCTATCAATCTATGTGCTCACATAATTTCCGGCAAAATGTCATTCGCTGCCTGCTTTAGGCATCTCTTGAGCGTGCCAAACTTCATGCTTCTGCGAGCAGAAAAGGAAGCACGTGAAATTTAATTCTATCCCCTAGGTTAAACGTAGTCTCTCTTGAAAATTAGATTTTTTAATGAAAGTTCATTCGCTCTTGAGCCCTCAGACCTTAGTAGCCGAGGATTAAATTCTTGCTCGGCTACTTATTATTGGATCTTGAGAGCAAACTGTGAAGTAAATGTAGATTTATTATTATCGAAGGGTTGGTAACGTAGCATATTTATATTACGCGTTGATTATATAAGTTTCCTTCAAAACAACTTTCGTGACTCGTCGCGTTTAAATATAAGCGTAACGGTCACGTTTATGATACTGAAATTTTATTAACATAGGATACGCTGTGTAATTGTAATATAATGACAATTGTGCACGGTTCTTTAAAAGATCGATACGCTGAACGGTGAAATTATACCACGATTATAAATTCCATTTGATGCCGCGGAAACGCATTGAAATTAGTGATATATAGAGGTAGGAAACATCGTTCAAATGAACACGTTTCGCGGTATTGCATTTTTAATTGGACCGTAACAATTTAATACAACCTATCATCGCGATATCGTCCCATTGCGTTCACATAATTATAATGATCCAGCTAATTAATCGTTTACATCGAGCACTCAGGGTCTGCATAATACAAGGATTGAAATAAGCAACGATAACGACGATTCATCATTCATTTCGCAAGTTACAGCGCGACAAAAGTGTATGCGCGCATGAATTCGTGGCTGGTATTGTCGTCGAATACCGATAGTGAAAAATATTGTGCCATTAGAGTACAAATCACTTCACTAACGATCCTTCGGCGCGCGACACTAAATCATCCCTCGGTCGGAAAAGCAATTTAGACGAGGCACAATATTTTGGGGGTTACTCGAGGAAAACTCGAAAATTCCATTTCAACGGCAATGAACGTTTCGCTGTTCGAGCGTTTCGAATAAATTGCGAGAGATATATTGGCAGTAAAATAATCCCACCGAATTCATCTGTTTATGGTAGGCGGGCACAATGGCGCTACGCTCAGGACGAAATGTCAGTCCTTCTTTCCTTACTTCCTTCCTTCCCATTGACGTGTCCTTGAAACCTACGCACACGCA